AACTGTGACTCATTTAATTCTATCCAAGGATATCTAAAACTCATGTTTATTGTAATAGAAAGGATAATACTACTTCTACAGTATAGTCTCCTTATTTCACCATCAAAGTTAAAATCAAGAAAAGAAATGGATGTCAGGAAAGGAAGGAAAGAAGAAAAAAGACAGAAAGAATATTTTGAACAAGAACACATTGCCATAAAGCTCTTAATAATTTTTTTTCTAAGCACTGTATAACAATGTCTGTGCTCACTGATTGCTAATAAAAGTATCACTGCTAAAGTTAAGCTAAGCTTATGGTCTATTTTAATTTTGTCTCACTGAATACCTACTGACTCATAGGATTATCTTTTTTTCTCATAGACTCTATTATTAATGAAAGCAAATCGTGTCTGACAAATCTGGTGGCCTTCTACAGTGGGGTCACAGCATTGGTGGATAAAGGAAGAGCAACTGATGGCATCTACCTGGGCTTGGGCAAACCATTTGACACTGTCCCGCATGACATCCTTGCGTCTAAATTGGAGACAGATGGACTTGATGGATGGACCAGTCGGTGGATAAGGAACATTTAGTGACGAGTGGCATTCCTCAGGGGTCAATACTGGGACAGGTGCTGTTTGACTGTTGGACAGTGGGATACAGTCGACATGCTGAAGGGAAGGGATGTCATCCAGAGGGACGTCAGAGATGGGCCTGACTGAACCTCATGAAGTTGAACAAGGCCAAGTGCAAAGTCCCACACCTGGGCTGGGACAATCCCAAACACAAATACAGGCTGGGTGGAGAATGGATTGAGAGCAGTCCTGAAGAAAAGGACTTGGGGGTGTCAGTCGACAAGAAAACTCAACATGAGCCAGCAACGAGCACTTGCAGCCCAGAAGGCCAACCCAATCCTGGGCTGCATCAAAAGAAGTGTGGCCAGCAGGGCAAGGAAGATGATTCTGCCCCTCTACTCTGCTCTGGTGAGACCCCATCTGCAGCGCTGTGTCCAGTTCTGGGGCCACCAACATGAGAAGGACATGGAGCTGTTGGAGCGAGTCCAGAGGAGGGCCATAAAGATGATCAGGTAGCTGGAGCACCTCTCCTGTGGGGACAGACTGAGAGAGTTGTGGTTGTTCATCCTGGAGAAGAGAAGGCTCTGGGGAGACCTTATAGTGGCCTTCCAGTACTTAAAGGGGTCCTACAGGAAGGATGGGGAGGAATTCTTTAGTAGAGAGTATAGTGATAGGACCAGGGGTAACAGTTTTAAACTGAAAGAGGGTAGATTTAGACTAGATACTAGGAAGAAATTCTTTACTGTGGGGGTGGTGAGACACTGGCACAGGTTGCCCAGGGAAGCTGTGGATGCCCCCTCCCTGGAAGTGTTCAAGGCCAGGTTGGACAGGGCTTTGGGCAACCTTGTCTGGTGGGAGGTGTCCCTGCCCATGGCAGGGAGGGTGGACTGGGTGAGC